GTTTGGAATCATGCCTGTTCCATCTAGGATACAACTACACTGTAATGTCCCAAGGCACATTACACTGGCCACTTAATTCAAGGTGAGATGAGCATAGAAGGAAGCGGTTTCATTGTGTGGATGGTTACACTGCAGGTCATATGGTGCTGACCTTGAACTGGTTCCAAGAACCATAATATTTGAAGCTTGGCAAAATATGTGGGTTTTTAACTCCCCCACTGGAATTGTGGATCAGTAGAGCACTCCAGATGTCTGCACAGCTATTTGCAATCTGTAGTCACATTCACTGTGAGATGTGGTTTATATTGCAGTGGGCTGATACACATTTTGAGCTCTTTTTCAGGCTGGATCTACACTGCCATATAATCCAGATCAAAGCAGATAATCCACATTAACTGCTTTGAACTGGGTTATATGAGTCTACACTGCCATACAATCTAGTTTAAAGCAGATAATCTGGATTTTATATGACAGTGTAGATGCAGCCTCAGAGTATCTCCCATCTTACATTGTCTCAATTTAACAGTCTTAAAGGGCTCTGCAATGTGCATTTGCAGCATGCGTTGTATAAACACTGCACTATCAAATTGTCTTAAACTGCAATACATAGTGCGTGTAGGTAACGTGCTCCCAGACCTGGAAACTATCTACTTACAGAGCTTCCACTTTATCAGAATTCAATTACACTTTGTAGGCTCTCAAAGAATCCTCAAGAAGTGGTCCAGCACTTACATAACGGCTACTGATCCAGACGGTATGGAGAGTTACAGTTGAGCAAACAGGTACAACAGTGGCCCTTTCCACAATGTTCCTATATCCCAGGATCTGATTCCAGATTATCTGTTTATCCCAGATTACCTGGCAGTGGAGACTCTATAATCCAGTTTAAAGCAGAAAATCTGGGATCAGATCCTGGGATATAGAGACAGTGTGGAAGGGGCCTGTGTTCCAAATCCTCACATGAGATGGGTTCAGATGGATGGTGATGAGCATGGAAGAGGGATGGGGCTTTGGGGAAAACCCACAGCACACAAAGGATCGCAATTTGAATAGATATGCTACTTTTCTTCTGGATTCTCTTCTCAATTCCCTACTAATTACAAACTATGTCTCTAGACCAGGCCTGGGTAACTCTGCACCCACAAATGGGCTGTACTGGTGTGCTAAAACCAGCAAAAAAGTTAAAAAGAAATTCCCAGGCAATTCCTCCTCATCCACACCTTAAAATAGTTGCAGAAATGATCCTGCAACCATCCATAACTTGAAAACCTGTCAGAATTTTAAAAAAAAACAGAAAATTTAAACAGGAAATGAATGACATCACTTTTGGCCAGTTTGGAGTGGTCTAGTATGTTTTTTTGGGTATGAAGGTTTGGGGAGCATTTTGCTGCTATTTTGAGCAATGGGTTTTTTAAAAATAGGAGACCCAGGAGCTTGAGGGCTTTAGGGGCTACATGCAGTCTATGAGCTACATTTTATCCACCCATTCCCTAGTCATGGATGACAACCTCCATTCCATTCCCTAAAAATCCCCTTGCTCTGTCCTGTCAGGCCCTGGAAACAATATTTTTGAATAACAAATGAATTAATGCTAATCTAATTAATTAAGCAATCATCTCTTCACTAGGGCTTGTGGTAATGGATTAAGTCTACAATTCCTAAACTTTCATGTAATGTAATTCATTTCCAGAGGTAATGTTCCAAAATCCATGTAGCACTGCAAAGACGCTGTGATTCTCCTTATGAGGAAAAAAAGTATAAACATAAAAATGAGGGGAAAAGTATAAACATAAAAATACTAAGTAACATAATTTGAAAAAAAAATCTGTTCCTGGTGTGATTGTGTTATTTCCTTTTGAATTGTGCAGTACGTACTTTGAAAGTAATTGTTATGCTCCAGAAACTTCGTTTTTGTGGCTGTCACAAACTATGTTGAATGAGTTGAGGCTTAATGAGATATTCATTGAAAAACTATAGCAAAACATGCTACAGGATGTCCCGCAAAAACAAAGCAAAGTTTTCGTAGTTTAATAAACTTTTTTCATGATTTTATGATAGAATCAATTAGGAAATGACATTTATAACCCCCAGGAACAAAAATCGTGTTACGTCGTGTAATAATAATAAAACTATTTCATTTAATCGCCAGACGAATGTTGAAAGCCTTGCAGGAAGGCCTACTGGGTGGGGAAAAAAAGATGGAATTGAAGAAAGAGATATAGATGGCTGGAAGAGAAACAAAGAATTGCAGTGGGTTAGTTTGGATGGCCATTATGGTCACTTCCAACCTCTGGGGTTCTTTTCCTATCCATTCCAGCTTCTGTCCCAACTCTGCTTTCATGCCTCCGTTATTCACAGGAGACAAGGGAGCTCTGAGGGAACCGCTTCTCACCTCAAAGCAAGGGTAGATAGTCCTTTTCCCCACCACAAATGGCATTTGATTGTGGATCATGGGTTAGGGCAGACATGGGCAAACTCTTAGTGACCTCATGGATCAGCCCACGCCAGAGCTCCCTGTCGGCCATCACCACCCCCAGCTCCTCCGAAGTCAATCCAGTCACTTCAAGGATACCATCCATCCATCCATCTTGCCCTTGGTTGGCCCCTCTTCCTTTTTCCTTCCATTTTCCTCAGCATCATTGCCTTCTGTAAGCATTCCTATCTTCTCATGATGTGGCCAAAATACTTCATCTTGGCCTCTAATATCCTTCCCTCCAATGAGCAGTCGGGCTTTATTTCCTGAAGTATGGACTGGTTGGATCTTCTTGCTGTCCAAGGCACTCTCAGAACTTTCCTCCAACAACACAGTTCAAAAGCATCTATATTCCTTCGCTCAGTCTTCCCTATGGTCTAGCTCTCACATCCATAGGTTACTACAGGGAATACCATTGCTTTAACTATGCGGATCTTCGTTGCCAGTGTGATGTCTCTACTCTTCACTATTTTATCGAGATTGGTCATTGCTCTCCTCCCAAGAAGTTAGACGTCTTCTGACTTCCTAGCTGCAGTCTGCGTCTACAGTAATCTTTGCACTTAGAAATACAAAGTCTGCCACTGCACGTTTTCTCCCTCTATTTGCCAGTTATCAATCAGTCTGATTGCCATGATCTTATAGAATCCTAGAGTTGGAAGAGACCTCATGGGCCATCCACTCCAACCCCCTGCCAAGAAGCAGGAAAATTGCATTCAAAGCACCCCTGACAGATGGCCAGAAGCTTTTAAACAGAGGCTCTTGGGGTTTTTTTATGTTTAATTGCAACCCAGCTTTTGGTCTTTCTTCTTTCACCTTGATTAGGAGACCCCGCAGCTCCTCCTTGTTTTCTGCCCTGCCAGATAATCTGGGATAAACAGATCAGATCCTGGGACATGGGCAGGGGCGGCTCAATCTATTACGCAAAGTAAGCATTTGCAGTATAGTTGATTTTGCCCAGGGGCGCTCTTGAGGCACTCTTGGGGGAAAATAGACCTTGACATATGCGAGTTGTAGTTACTGGGGTGTATAGTTCACCTACGATCAAAGAGCATTCTGAACTCCACCAATGATGGAATCGAACCAAATATGGCATACAGAACTCTCACGGAGAACAGAAAATATATATCAGTGATTGGCTTGGGGGGGGGGGGGCGCCAAAATACTGTTTGCTTACTGTTGAAAATTACCTAGGGCCACCTCTGGATATGGGGCCTGCCTGGAAGGGCCCTAGGAAAAGAGAGTAATAGCCACACAAGGGACTATGGGCCCTTCCATACAGTCATACAACCCAGACTATCAAGGCAGAAAATCTCACAATATCTGCTCTGAATTGGGTTATGAGTCCACACTGCCATATATCCCAGGTCAAAGCAGATCATGTGGGATTTGATTCAGGGGTGTGTAAGGGGCCTGTGTATGCCCAGTGCTGACAAGTGCCGCAGCTCTGTGAGCTCCATCTCCCTTTTGCTCTGCAGGCTCCTACACCTTGGTCCCTTTTTCGGCCAAGTTCCTGGGGGCGGAGGGAAGGTGTTTTTGCTGCAGGCAGGCAGGCAGGCCTCTCTGCGTCTCCTCCCGTCCCTCCTGAGAGACTGCAAAGGAAGTGCGGAGGGCAAAAAAAAAAAAAAAAAGCAAGGCAAGGCGCGAGCTTTGGGTCTTGTTCATCAGTCCCGCATCTTGGCCAGCTTGCTTCCAACCATGGGGGGAGGTTTCTTTTGAGGGAGAGAAGGAGAGGCCCTAGTGACCCCTGTGGAGGCTGTGAAGGTGGAGGTCTGCTTGCAAGCGAAGGTGGGACGGAGCTGGGGTTGTGGGCGGGAAAGGGAGGGCGGAGGAAAGGGGCGCGCGCGCTCCTCTCCCGAGCTTCTTGCCCTCGAGAGTCCCGCGAGGGAGAAGGGTTCCACATAAAGGGAGGGGGGAGGCGGGGAGAGGGGCGCGCGCGCTCTTTTTATTTTCCCCTTTCCTCACCTCGTGAGGGAGGAGGGTTCCACATAAAGGGAGGGGGAGGCGAGGGGGGGCAAGGGGCGCGCGCGCCTCTTATTTCCCCTCTCCCTCACCTTCTTGCCCTCGAGAGTCCCGTGAGGGAGAAAGGGAGGGGGAGGCGGGGAAGGGGGCGCGCGCGCCTTTTATTTCCCCCCTCCCTCGCCTTCTTGCCTTCGAGAGTCTCGTGAGGAGAAGGGTTCCACATAAAGGGCGGGGGAGAAGGGGCGCGCGCGCTTGTTATTTCCCCCATCCCTCAGCTTCTAGCCCTCGAGTGTCCCGCGAGGTAGAAGGGTTCCACAGAAAGGGAGGGGGAGGCGGTGCGGCTGCGCAGGGGCTTTGCAGCGAGGAGGGCGCCGGCCTGCATTGCGTCGGCTGGGCTGGGGACCCGGCTTGGTTCCAACGCTCCTCCTCCTCCTCTTCTTCTTCGTCCAGAAGGTCGGCGGAGGAAAAGAGGAGGCAAGGCAGCGTGGGCTCTCTCTCTCTCGAGCCGGCCCAGGTGCGAGGCGGGAGTGCGGGGGGGGGATGCTCGGCACGCGCCGCCCTCCCTACAGCCCCGCCCCCTCCTCCTCCTCCTCTCCCTCCGCGCGCCGCCTTGCCTGCACCAAAGAGCGCTCGGGTTTCTGCTGAGGCTGCAGCGCGGGAGGGAGGGAGGGAGTCAGTCAGGGATGGCTCGCGCCCGACTGTCCGGGGCCCCGCCCCCCGCGCGCTGCCCCGAGTAGCCGCAGAGGAGGGAGGCTGCTGTGCCGTCGGGTGGGGGTGGGGGGGGCGCCCTCGGAGCCCTTCTCAGGGATCCCTCCTCCGTCTTGCCCTCTCTCCTCTGGATGAATATTTCAGCGTGGCACCGGCCTGCCCTGTAAAACGAGCCGCATCTTCCTCCTCCTCCTCCTCCCTGAAAGGGCTGCGTGAGGCTGCGGCGGCGCTGGAGGAGGAGGCTTGCTGCTCTTCTGCTGCTGCTGCTGCTGCCGCGCTGCGGATGCTGCTGCTGCTGCTGCAAAAGGCGAAGCAGCGCCTTGACGCAGTCTGGCCGGCTCCAGCTGCAGGTAAGGAAGGGTTCAACCTCTTGGGAAGAAGCCCTGGCAGGTTAGCCTCGCCTCTGCGTCGCGGTGCTTTCCAGAGCCCTTTCCTGCCCGATATTTGGGAAGCTCATCATAGCATCTCCCCTTGTTTCACTCTCCTTGGCTGTGCATGAGCTGAAAACTGCCACCCCTTGTTTGTGTATATAGATCTATTCTGCATGTCTCTTGGACCCATTCAACTTGGTGCTCTTCCTTGCTTGTGCAAAGCATGAAGTTCCTTCCCCTCTTCAGCAAAGAGAAGTTAGGACCCTCAACAAACTGTATTACTGTGGGCATCTTTCTCCTTTTGTGACTTTTTGGGCAGCGTCCAAGAAAGAACTGCATGCAATGCCGCCTTCCTGGCATGGAAAAGTGATGGCAGTCGGGTTTGTGTTGTTGGCAGTGGGAGAGACCTTCCCTTTTTTTATGAATATGCTTCTTGTCCCTTTACAGTACGAACCCGTTGCCCCCGAAGTGAGCTTTATCCCTTTTTGATACATCTCTCTCTATATAAATCACTCTCATAAAGTGGAAGGGGCCAATGCAGAGCGAGAGAGAGCAAGAGAGAGAGAAGTTGGTGGACTGGATAGTGCTGAGTCGACATTTCAACCAACTCTGGTCCCGGGCACTCTGTTTATGTCTTCGTCTGTATTGAGGGAAAGTTTGCGACAGCAGCCGCAATACAGCAGCAGCAGAGGCAGCATGGTCACACCTGGGAGCGAAATGAAGGATCTGTGCTGAAAGCCAGAAGCGGATCATGATGTTTGTGCTGATCCTGCAGCCCTCCCTTTGTTCTTAGGCACAACCAGGTACAGTTTGTTGTCCCCGTCCCCTCCTTCCCAAATGATCCGCACCCAACACCCTTTCTTTTTCCCAGCCTTGATGACCTTCTGTCCCTTCCTCTCTCTTTACCCTTGAGATTCCCAACCTTGATGTCCACCCTCCATTCCTGCTCTTTGAAACAGGAGACCAAAGAAAGGCGCCGATCGCTCTTCGGCACTTTAGTTCCGCATCTTGAGCCTTCTTCGTTCTTCATGCTTCTTCAGCTCTGGCAGCTTTTTGTTTTGGATCCCGTCTCCTTCTATATCTCACCGCCTTTGTAGTCGTTTTTTCCACTCCCCTTTCCACCATGACTGTGATGGCCGGGGATCACATGGATGAGACGTCTGCTTTGCCGGGCCACCTCCAGGACAGCTATAGGCCCGGGACTCACGACGACCACGAATGCTGCGAGAGGGTCGTGATCAACATTGCGGGCCTGAGATTTGAAACCCAACTCAAAACCCTGGCCCAGTTTCCCAACACCTTGCTGGGGAACCCAAAGAAGCGCATGCAGTATTTTGACCCGCTGCGGAACGAATACTTTTTTGATCGGAACCGGCCCAGTTTTGACGCCATCCTCTATTACTACCAGTCTGGGGGGCGGCTTCGCAGGCCGGTCAACGTCCCCTTAGAGATGTTCACCGAGGAGATCAAGTTCTACGAACTGGGAGAGGAGGCCATGGAGAAATTCCGGGAAGACGAAGGGTTCATTAAAGAGGAAGAGAGGCCGTTGCCTGATAAGGAATATCAAAGGCAAGTATGGCTCCTCTTTGAATATCCCGAGAGCTCTGGGCCCGCCCGGGTCATTGCGATAGTCTCTGTTATGGTGATCTTAATCTCCATAGTGATATTTTGTCTGGAAACTTTGCCAGCCCTGAAAGACCAGGACAGGGAATATACAGGACCCCTAAACCGCAGCGACAACTCCACCATTTATTACAAGTCCAATATCTTTACCGACCCCTTCTTTATTGTGGAGACACTCTGCATCATTTGGTTTTCCTTTGAATTGGTGGTGCGCTTTTTCGCCTGCCCCAGCAAAGCCGAGTTCTTCAAGAACATCATGAACTTCATTGACATAGTGGCCATCATCCCGTACTTCATCACTCTGGGCACAGAGATGGCTGAGCAGAAGGGGCCCCCAAAGGGGGAGCAAGCCACCTCTCTGGCCATCCTCAGAGTCATCAGATTGGTAAGAGTCTTTAGAATCTTCAAACTCTCAAGACACTCTAAGGGCCTTCAGATCCTGGGACAGACCCTCAAAGCGAGCATGAGGGAGTTAGGCTTACTAATCTTTTTCCTCTTCATTGGGGTGATTTTGTTCTCCAGCGCGGTGTATTTTGCTGAGGCTGAAGAACCTGAAACTCATTTCGACAGCATCCCTGATGCTTTCTGGTGGGCAGTGGTATCCATGACCACTGTAGGATATGGTGACATGTACCCTGTGACAATTGGAGGCAAAATCGTGGGCTCCTTGTGTGCCATTGCTGGTGTGCTGACAATTGCCCTGCCTGTACCTGTCATTGTGTCCAACTTCAACTACTTCTACCACCGAGAAACAGAAGGGGAAGAACAGGCTCAGTTACTTAGAGTTAGCTCTCCTAATTTAGCCTCTGACAGTGATCTGAGTCGCCGTAGCTCCTCCACAGTCAGCAAATCTGAGTACATGGAGATTGAAGAGGATATGAATAATAGTATAGACAATTTTAGAGAGGCAAACCTCAGAACTGGCAACTATACCATAGCCAACCAAAACTGTGTTAATAAAAGCAAGCTGCTTACTGATGTTTAAAAACACGTAGTAAAGGAAACAATGGCAGCTTGAAGACTTTTAATGACTGGCAGTCACACTTCATAGATGCTTTATGAATAGCCTTTGAATGCTTTACCTCGTAAATGCATTGTTGCATTGCGAATTCTTGCTCAGTGATTCAAGAAGCTTTCATGATCCATGAAAGAAATCCACTTTTTGTTTGTTTTCGATGAATATTTTCCAGTTGGTATGAACAGTTAACTATAATTCTTTGGATTAGCCTAGTTATAAATAAGAATTGTATGCTTCTAGCTCTAGTCATTTTGCCATTACTTTCCGTTGTTTAATTTGATTTTAAGTTTCAAAGAGAACTCTTACAAATATTTAAAATATGCATGGATTCCGGGGTGGGGGTGGGTCTACAAAAAAAAAAACCTGCACAATGCATCCAAGAAATTGCATCCAAACAATACTCATCCTAATGTGCAGTAAGCATTTGCCACTGTTTAGACTGACTGACATGTATTTCCTTCTTTTGTGAAAGGCTTTGTAGTTTGATCTACAAATCCACACACAGCACCTTATAAAAATACTCCAGGTCTTTTGATTTTGCTGTATACACTTTTTAAATTGAACAGTTATTCTCTATGGATTTGGGGGGTGGGAAAGTGGAGGGAAACAACATCTGCAATGCTGCTAAGATTTATTAAGTGCAGATGGTTTTAATGTATTTTTTTCCATTCTCCAAAACTTGGATGCAAACCTTTTTAGCTCCTTTGTTGCAAGATAGCACAATAGAATTTAATATAAGCATGTTGGACTTTGATACTATCTATTTTATAACTGCATGCCTTGAAACATTACCTCAGACAATAGGGGATAAGCTTTTGTTTGAACTATTTTTTTCTTTGAAATAGGCCCTTTTTATTTCAATTTGCATTCACCAAAAGTGCACTCCTTTTTATTTATTAAGTATTGGATTATTATCTTAAAGTACTGTATTTAAGTGCATATGTCAAATGGGAACAATAATTTTGGAGATCAAAGCATGCTAAAATATTCAGCGTTATGGCCTATTTGACTAAAGTGTAGCTCTAATTAATGCATGATTTCAGTAATTTAAGAAAAAAATTGCTTGTTGGGACGGAGGGCCAGGAATGAGAGCGATTGGACGATTTTCCTGCGTTCCACAGGAAAATGAGTTGGCTTCTGTCTAGTCCTTGTTAGAAAGTACAATAGCCCATCCCTTAAAGGGACATTTATATGAAAAAAGTAACAATTTAAATTTATATATAGCAATGTCTAAATATTCTGTATCTCTTAGAAGAGAAAAAAAGATGCAGAAGCATGCCTTTTGGTGCATTCTTAGAATGTAAAATGAAACTTGCCTATTATATGCATCCAAATTACAGCCCAGTTCTTTCGCAGTCATTTGAACCTTAGAAATTTTGTATTCCCTTAGGATTCTCTGAAGAGATTTAACCAGTTGATTTTAGATAGTTGCTTAGTGCCTTTATCCTTAACAGCCACTGAACTGCTGAAAGTGCCTCTATGAAAAGAGCTGATCCCAAGTAGGCATGGATGAGTCAGCTGGACCGTGTCAGGACTCTGCTGTTCCAAATGCAGGCACCACAGAAGGACCGCCGGGGGGGGGGCACCAACAAGGAAGACAATATGCAAAGCAAAGAGGCAGAAGAAGAGGGCAGAAACCACTAGCACTCATGCACCCTCAGTTTCCTTCGGTGCTTTCCCCCTCTACAGCAGAGTGATATTGCAACCTAGCCTTTGCCTTTACCAAATATGTTGCAATCATAAGTATGCAGAATGTAACCCGTTTGGTTATAGAGAATCTATTGACCTCCTTATTCTGGACAGGGCGGTGGGGAGACAGTACGGAGCTGGGCCGCCCTTCCTTCAGGATGGCTGTTGGCAGCCCATCTCCAAACTCAAGAGGATGGAAAGGCCATCATTGTCAGCAGGAGTGCAGTGAGCCAGGATAGATGAGTACTCAGAACTTCTCCGATTCCATTGAGAGGTCTTTGCCTTTCCAGCCAAGCACTTGAGCTTGTCCTCCTAGTCTAATCTTTACAGAGTCCTTTGATTTTAAAATCTGAATGCTCCCACCCTCTGTAAAAACTCCTCATACTTTTTTGTGTCAGGCGTGACTTGAAAAACTCGCAAGTTGCTTCTGGTGTCTTGAGGATTGGCCGTCTGCAAGGATGTTGCCTACGGGATGCCTGGATGTGTTACCATCTTGTGGAAGGCATCTCTCATGTCCACACATGAGAAGCTGGAGCTGACAGATGGGAGCTCACCTCGCTCCCCAGATTCAAACCACCGATCTTTCGGTCAACACTCCTGCCAGCACAATGGGTTAAACCATTGTGCCATCGGGGGCTTCAACTCCTCATACAGTTCTGTTTTATTGAAGTGTGTCATAGTCTGAAAATAAGCAGTGGTTGAAACTACAAGCCTGTACACCGTAGAATTACAGTGTACACTGTAGAATTAATGCAGCTTAACACCACTTTAACTGCAATGGCTCAATGTTATAGAATCTAGGGAGTTGTAGTTTGAGCCCCCCCCCCCAGGGGGTTGAGAAGGGCGGGCTACAAATGTTTGAAATAAATAAATAAATATGACATTATTTGTCAGAGAAGGTTAAAGATCTTGTAAAAACTACAACTGCTATGATTCCCTAGCATTGAGGCATAGCAGTTAAAGTGGTGTCAGCTATATTCTACAGTGTAGAATGGCACCCTATGTCAGTTTTAACTGATGCAGATAGACATCTTTTTATTTTTAAACATCACAGGGGAAGATAATCTCTTGACACTTAACTTGTGATTTGTTGTTTTCGGACCTTTTCCCTCCTTTGATGCATAGACTCCAGGTCTTCTTCTCTTCCACAATGTCTATTCTCCATAACTACTGTTCTATAGAACATTAAACTGGAAACAAGAACATTAATTCTGCAGTTTTGAACAAATCTGATATGCCAGATAGGCAGAAGTTGTAATTTTATGGCTTTTATTATCCCAAATTACATGAAATAGTCGCCAAGGGCAAAATAATTCCAAATATTAATTGCAAAACCTATATTTAAAAGCCCACATAGTTCCATTTAGTCATCCTTTCCCAGTTCTAGACCTGATGGCCTGAGCAATACTTTGCAAATCTCAAATTTTAGGAACATCACCCCAAAAAATTAACTGGTGTGAAGGTTATCTCAGCAATTGTGCCCTCAGTGCCAAGTGGGGTGGCTGATTAGGAGGTGCCATGTGAGATAGGATGAGGCCTCAATTGGGCAGCTTGGTGAGTTTATGTACGAATTAATTGGGTTGCCCACACCTTAATTTATCTGCTGGACTGATCTGTATTCTGCATGTTTAAGAGAAAGTACTGCATGTAGTGGTTCGATTTATGGCTCCCCTTCCTTTGCTTTTGACAGGGTTGGGCAAATCTTTAGGGCTCGGGTGGGTGTCTTGGGGAATATGACAATTGCTTACTCATTTATAGTTCACAACAAAGGAACTAGGTAAATATTGAGTCAGGGATAACTTCATGTAGCATAGGCATGTATTTCTTCCAGGAAAATTTTTGCTCCCGTTAAAAATCAAATTCATTGCTTTGCACTCTACTACTGAAATATCTTTGTAGGCTTGAAGGTGCACTAAACTAAAAACCGAACAAACTTTGGTTGTTGTTTCTAATGTTTCTTTTTGCCATACTTCTTTCTGACGATTGATAATCCCAAAAAAGTGGGTGTTCGAACTGGCCCCGGTAGAATTAGGCGCACAACAGATGTGGCCAGTCGTCATGGGGGGGAAATGCCTCATACATTTGCTGGCCTATTGGCAAATGCAATGACTCCACCTTTGATGTACTATCATGGCTTGCAACATTGCTCAGATACATTCAGCACTCCACAAGGTGAGAATCGGGTTGTTCAGCAGATTGTTTGAAGAACATTTTTGCAAGGCCTGGAAGCAGGCAAAATTTCCCTAACCTTGGTGCAGAGGTATCTTTACCACAAGGGGATATGGTGCTCCGCTCATGCAATTTGAAGCACAATTCACTGAGAATTTCTCTTACAGAAGCCTCATAGAAGTGAACAAGAAAGGCACAACAGCACCGTAGGGTTCTTGTGCAGATCCTCTTCATTTCAGGGTGGCTTAATGGGGAGGGAGGTGCTATTTGGATTTTCTGCCTCAGGTACCAAAATGGGATGGCTCTTTGTTGACATCATAGAAACCAAATATCACCTGGACCATAGAAGAGAAATAGAATTTAGGCCCTTTTCCAGGAATACAGTGTGTTTTGTTTTGTTTTTTGAAAAAACAAGCAACTATGTGCAGGAACATTCTGTTCTGTAATCATATCTATTTGCCAAACAATAGGTTTTTTTTCTAGAGAATAATCTTGCATAACATATGTAAGCATAAAAATGATGTGGGTTTCATAGGGAAGGTAACACAAAGATAAATGATGTAACTTCATTTACAATTAGTGCAGATCAGGCCAAACAGTATTCACAATACAGTAGAATATATCAATGTTATTATATATAAGAACTAAGGAAGTAATGTTGCACTACGTCACAGCTCTTTCATAATCAGAAAGCAAATGTAAATGCAATGGAATTTTAGTGAATTCTTTTATTTTTCCCATTGCATTTATATATTTTATTATATTATGCACTATTATGGCACTTAAGGTTTTCTTCACTTCTTGTAAAGGTGATATACAAATAAAGAGGGTTTCTGTATATTTCAATTCAAATCCAGTAGTGTTTGGCTTGGCCTTGTCTTCTTGTAGAACAGGGGTGCAGGTAGGCAATTGTTGAAGACTGCGGGGAGAGGGCACATTATCTCTTTGGTAGGCAGCACCCCCATCACACAGTCCACTAGAAACACAAAGAAACACAAACAGATTGTGCCCCCCCTCCCGAGAATCACAGGAATGGTATGGGGCCTGTCTGAAGCTTATAGACCACACTATGACTAAAGCTGCTGTAGGTAAAGTGACCCCACTATCCCTAACCAGTCCTGTTCTATGCTCCCAGTGGTACAGCTGGGACCAGAGCGCTTGGACCTCCACACTCCTCATATAGCAGCAACCCTGGGCAGTGTCTCTGGGAGGCACCATCCTGGAATTCTCCCTGGCGTTGAAGGTTTAGTTCTTGTTGAGGGCTGCACCTCTTCAAAATACAGGTCAATGCTTATTCAACTGAATGCTCCCAAAGTCACCTGTACTTGGAAAATTAGCTCATTATGGATCACATTTCTAACCTAACCTTCATCTTGAAACAATAGTTTGCTCTACTCAGGGACTTTTTCTTACGAAACTGAGAAACACTGAAAGACGTTGATCGTGGTTAGTACCCATCTATAGTCTGAAAACCAAGGGCCATTTTACAATTATAGCACTATGACTCCAGTTGAACTCCTATGGCGCGTTGTGGATTGGGCAAGCACTAGAGCTCACTTGCTGAGAATTCTAAGTATCCCTCCAACTGCAAATCCCAAGATTCCTTAGAATGGAACCCATGGCGGATTTATCAACCGAGTGAGAACTAGACTGTAGTTTTCTATAAGAATGGAAATAATATTTTAAAATACTTGAAAAATTATTGGAAAATGTGTTTTTTGAGTGTTGAGAAAAATCCAGGACTGGCAAGAATCTTCACAGTTCAGGATTTATTCTGTGGTTGTTTTGTACAGAAACCAGCATATTCTGCGCAGAAAACAGCCATTTCAACACAGAAATATTAATTCATGCACAGAGAATGCTGTCTTCCTGTGCAGAAAATGCTGTTTTCTATGCAAAGCAACCATGTTCAAATTATACACAGCATTTTCTGCATAGAAAACATACTTTTATGCACAGGAGTTAATATTAAAATATTATTTGCCATGCAGAAATTGCTGTTACCTATGCAAAAAATGCAAATTTCTGCACAAAACAACCATGTGGGTTTTTTTTTCATAGAATAAGTCCGCAATTGTGAATAGCCTTTGAAAATTCATGCCTTTTGAAGACTTTGTCTCAGAAGAAAATTACTGAAATTACTCATTGCTGCCTGTGGAAAGAATCTTAGTGAAGAGTGACACCCCTACTTTTCTATGGACAGGGTCTTGGAACAGCTAAGCCTGCATTCAGCCATGAAATTCCTCTACTTTTAGTTTAATGGCACAATCCATGGAAAATTTCAGCCTGTTATTTTGTTTTCATGTAGTCAAGGTCTCCTGCTTCAGAGACATTCAGTACAAATCCAAGGCAGCCTGTAGATGTCCAAGCAGGTTTTAGTTGTTCATTTCACATGGGGATCTACAATAATTTCAAAAGGTCACTTGAGTACTCTCTTCCTTAAAACTTAATACTGGGTTTTAAGACCTAATTTTTAGTCCTGTCTTGTTTATTTAGCCATTCAGCTAGATACAGCTCTCAGCAGACATCCAAGTAAGACTATGCTGAGAACTGGTCCTTGTTCAGACGGCACGTGGCAGCAGGCAAGTGAAGCAGCTTCACTGTGGCTTTCACTTCTAAAGTCTTGTCTGCAGACAATCAGACATTCATTCATTACTGTGGGGTTATTGATTTAATGCTGATTGTTTTTTATTTTAAAAAAATAGCTGCGATTACAAAGTATACTGTGCAATTTCAAAATGATGCAGATGATCCCCAGGGTACTTTTCTCAAGGTTCAGATGTTAGCCCGTGCAAATCCTGGTAGCGTTCACAGACGCATTTATATTTCGTAAAGTTTAAGTCAACACGTGAGAAATGTACCCACAAAGCTGAGAAGTATGGTTTTAATCATGAAGTGACTGTTAAAAACTCAACACAGTTTTGTGGCATTGTTGGCAATGAGCAAAAAAGAAACAAAACCCCATTCTCTTACTTTACCTTTTTAGGGGCCATTTAAATCAATGGGCAATTTGAACAGACGGTTCGATTGTATGTCTGGACAAGATGAGTGTGAAATTTATTGTGAAATGTCCTGAAATAGCATTAATCTAAACTCACTAGGTTATTTTATTTGACTATTTTAAATGTTTTTGTAACTACTTTTGTTTCTCTGAAATGCTCAGTGATGTATCAATAAGGCCAGAATTCTCTTTTCATAATTCCTACAAATGGCATGCCTTTTTTTTCAATTTGGATTTTTAATTCCAATTGGGAAAACAAACCTATTGATCCCTATGTTGACAATTCTTCAGCCTTCTGTGATTTACTACTTTCAGTCTCTCCTGTCGAGCCTCTGCTGTCATGCGGAATCGGATACAACTGAATTCTTTGGAGACATATTTATTGTTGATTACATTGGTCTTTCAATGGCATTTCTATAATATGATTGGAGTCTAATGTATAGTTTACTTTTATACAAAAGTTTTAAAAAGATATTTTTATGACTAAATTCAACAAGGAAAAATTAAAATTTGATTTTCCTTTCCGAGGACCTTGGTTTGAAACTGTGTAAATAACAGCTGTGCATAGGAATGTATATGGATATTATTATTATTTTTTAACATACCTCTGATTTTAATGATCCAACGTTAGTCTTAAATGAGGTCATGGAATGGTTATTCCCAGAACAGCGCACCACCAGGGCAACAAACCATTGAAGCTGATATGGGTCTATCGATTTTCATAATTTTTAAGTTGCTTACATTTTTGAGTTAAGTATTTGATTGTTATATTACAATTGATCTGTCTTAACCATTGCTGAAATAGTTTTGTTTTTGTCCATTTTAAAGACAGAGAATGTTATGAGTTATATGTAAAACATATAATGTGCATAGTTTCTTCTATGCAGTTTTACTTGCTTCTGTCACCTCTATCATCTGTTCATATTTGGCATCTATTAAAGATAATTTTTAAGGATCTTACTCAGGAATACTGTGAGTGATTTATTGTCTGTTCTTCTGTCCCTTCCGGAGAGCTTCACTGAGAAATATGGGGAGTGTGTGAAGGATGGCAGAAGGATGTCCAGGAGAGCAGGAGGTAGACTTTCCGTTGGTATTGAACCAAAATAATCTGGGTAATAGGTAATGAACAGATGGAAGCATTGAGGAGGGGAAGGAAAACATTGGCAGAGAGAAGGGCTGAGTGTGGCTTAAGCCTGTAGAGATTTGGTGTCGTATGTTCATCTTTATCCATAGGGCTGTAGTGAAAAAGAAGGAGTTAGCTCCCTTTTCCCACCCCAGTTTTTCCTATTCTGACAGAGAGTTGCCTGCACCAAAATAGGTTATTGATTAGGATGATGAGAATATTGAATAGTCTGTTGTAATAAAACAATACATTTGTGTATGGGTAAGATATTTTTTTACTTTTACTATAAAATACTTTCTTACTTAGGCGATCCCTCGTTGACCGAGTAGGATAGTCTTCCAGGGTCAGTGTCCTGGCAGTGGAACCGTAGGTAACTGTGGAGCCCTATTCTTGATCTGCATCTTCTCCTGCAGTGAGGGCATTGGTTTCCAAGTGGAAGGCGGTCCTGGGCAGGGTTGGTTTGAAACGCCTTCCTTTTGGCACATTTCTCTCTTTCGCCCTCCATTTGTACCTCTTCAAATTCTACAGCACTGCTGGTCACAGCTGACCTCCAGCTGGAGTGCTCAAGGGCCAGGGCTTCTCAGTGTCTATGCCAGAGTTTTTAAGGTTGGCTTTGAACCCACCTTTAAATCTCTTTTCCTGCCCACCAACATTCTGTTTTCCATTCTTGAGTTCGGAGTAAAGCAACTGCTTTGGGAGACAGTGGTCAGGCATCCGGACAACATGACCGGTCTAGTTATGGTTATGGGATAGGACATAGATTGCCTGGTGTTCCTCATAGTCTTAAATGTCTTGGAATAAGTCTACTTGAAGTTTAAGGACCTTGTCACACTAGAACAGTGATTCTCAACCTGTGAGTCCTCCGGTGTTTTGACCTACAACCCCCAGAAATCCCAGCCAGTTTACCAACTGTTAGGATTTCTGGGAGTTAAAGGCCAAAAACATTTGGGGACCCCAGGTTGAGAACCACTGCACTAGAGCATCTATCCACTATAGATCCGGTTGCTGCCTTCTGTGGAATTCTGGGGTTTGTAGTTTAAGGAAAGGGCCTTTAAACTGCTCAACCAGAGAGATCCTGGGCCTCACTAAACTACAAACCCCAAAATTCTGCAGGAGGCAGCAATTGGATTTAAAGTGGATAGATACTCTGGTGTGGTGCAGTACTAAATGGTAAAGACAGGCAATCTTAGGAGACAAAGTTAAAATTATTTTTGCGTGTTCCATCAAAGATACAGATGGGATAGTTGTTCTTGAGCCAAATGGCACTTAAATTTCATCCCCTTTCGAACTCTGTTCTGCTGATGCAAGCAATGGGTCTGTTCTCCTGTCGATTGGGTTGCAACCAACTGACATTTCCACCCCCTCCTACAAGCTGTCATTGGTGCGACAGTCAGAAAAAGCCAGATCCCTCTCCCAATTTCCCCTCAATCACTCATGGGAAGGGTGGGGTGGAATAGAAAGAAAGATGGCTCTGCTGCATTTCAAATGACAGAAGAACAGACCCTGCATCACTCCATGGTGGCTGATTCCCAGGATGTCAGGACTGGCAGACTTTTACAATCCCTGCATACTCCCCCATGCTGTTGAATACATACGGAATTGTTAAAGTGACTCTGTTACAAATGCGTAACTCTAGGTGAAAATGACAAATTATGGAAGAACTCATTCAACCATCACTGGTTAAGTTACTCCTTAGGCTCATCATGAATTATCAGATGACTTCTTCACAGTTTGCAGAGAGTGCATCCTACCAGTTCCATTGTGTAAACTGGCCTCCGCTGAAATGTAAGTAGCATTCCTGTTTTTAAAAACATTCTAATAGAAACTATATTTTTCTATTGTTGTGTGTTGTAAGATTAACCTTCCTGTTTATTTCTGTGTACAAGAAATAGTTTTCACTAAGATAGTTAAAACGGCTAACTTAGTACGCTTAAAACTGCCCTGAAATCCAATCCAACCTTCAGGCAACCAGGTACAACTAGTGACTCTGGATAGAGGTCCATCTAGAAACAGGTATTCAGCAAATATATGAGGTCTGGTTGATACTCATTTATATCTGTTCTAGCTGTGCAAATTTTTCACATTCTAAAAAGGCACATGAATGAAGAAGTGCATATTTGCCTTTGATCTTTGATATTGTTGTTTTAAATTGTTTTTAAATTGTATTAAATTGTGTTAGATTTTAGCCTATTCTTGTAAGCCACTCCGAGCCCCAGGGGAGTGGCGGCATATAAGTTTGAATAATAAATAAAATAAATAAATATTTTTATGGAGATTTCTGCTGCTAGGACAGGCTGATATATATAATGGAAAACCCTATATGATTTATTGTCGAAGGCTTTCATGTCTGGAATCACTGGGTTGTAGGTTTTTCGGGCAATATGGCCATGTTCTAGAAGCATTCTCTCCTGACGTTTTGCCTGCATCTATGGCAAGCATCCTCACAACCTCTGAGGATGCTTGCCATAGATGCAGGCGAAACGTCAGGCGAGAATGCTTTTAGAACATGGCCATATAGCCCGAAAAACCTACAACAACCCTATATGATTGTTTAAAAGAGTCTAACACTTCAGTGGTTAAAGTTTGTTGTACTACTGTCAGCACATTGGACAATGTTTCATTCATGAATATTTTGCAGTGGCATCTCTGGTACTTAGTAAAATTGAAAGGAAAATCTCTTGAGTATCATGTTTTGTGAATTCCTGCTTTTCATGTCTGAATTCACTCATAATGTCTTGATTTGGCTTTGAGTAAGAAACACAGCAAGATAATCCATTGTTCAAATAGTTCACTTGTTCCATACTCCAGCATGTTAAAGGGGTTCTGCAGGAAGTGACTATGGAGCTGTTTTGCCCCATGGCGGCCTCCTTTTTCTCACTGACATGCTCTTCTGCTTATACTTTGGGAGCAAGCAAAACTATTTTAAAAAGATAACTAATTCGCTTTCAAAAAATAAACCTCCAGAGCCCTGTCATTCATCTGTTTCGCTGCCCAATAACCTGGTTCCTCTGTATTGGATTGCGTTTTTCCAAAGTCCTCCAGGTTTCTGTGATCTTCTCTAAATTCAAGGTCAAGCACTTTCAGCTGAAGCCACTGCAGCAGTGTGTTGGTATCTCTATAGCCAAGCTAAGACTGCATCAGCTTCGCGGGAGTGTCACGTCACTTTTCATATCACCATGGCTCCCAGGTGGCCACAAAGGTTTTTCTGAGGCCCCTTCCGCACAGCTGAATAAAATCCCACATTATCTGCTTTGAACTGGAATATATGGCAGTGTGGACTCAGATAGCCCAGTTCAAAGCAGATATTGTGGGATTTTCTGCTTTAGTATTCTGGGTTTTATGGCTGTGTGGAAGAGCCCTGAGTTTCTGACCATTGCTGTCTCCTCTGTTGATGTCAGAACAGGACATTCACACAACCAGGAAAAACAGAGGATTGTTCCATTCTGATGTCAGCAGAGGCACCCACAATGGCCAGAACCTTGGATGGAGCTCTGTAGTTGATGGGAAGTGGCAGTGACAGCTTGGGACAAGCCATCCCCTTCCCCGTGCTATTTAGGAGGGGGTGATAGCACTGTGTCTGGACAGTGGGTCAGGCCAAATCGGACCTGGGCCAGTTGTCCAGACTGTGACACAATCCGGGGATACTCTAGAATTTCCAGCAATCTCTGGAGTATGCCTCGACTTTGCCCTACAAAACACAATACTCACCAGAAGTCAGCAAACATCGTAGGGACAGGATATAATGGAAGTCCAGATTTTCTTGTCCATGTAGACTTATTCCTATTCTATAGACTTTTTAAGTTGCAGACACAGCAGGTAGGAACAGAGGGAGACAAAAATGTTTATGTTGGAACCCGTTGTACTTTCATAATATTTATCATTAAACCATTTGTTTACTTTCTTGTCCCCTTCTGCAAAAGCTCTGTTAGCCACATGATACTAAATTGATTAATTAGCAAAGGGTTGTTTTCTGTTTTGTACACAAAAGCCTTAGTGAACAAGAATATATAACTATAAAGATAGCAGTCAGCTTATTACAGCCACATTTTACTTGCCCTGGTTCTTTCTCAGATGTGAAATGTATGTATAAAGCTGGAAATCTGTCCAGTATATAGGAAAGGACAAGATAAAATTGCAAATACTGTCTCATTTCATTTTCTTCTCTTTTTTTGGCTGGAGTTCTGTTTGATGTATTCCTTATCCAGACTCAAGGTAAGACAACAGGATGCTATTTTGTATGTTTGTCCCTGCTGCTACCATACGAAGATGTTTGACTTTGCCTCCCAGATTCTCTCCTTTTAAGTTACTACACCTTTTTGGTTGATTTTATTTTCTAAATGTTGATTGCATGAGCTGCCTTCTAGAAGACAAAAACATGGTTAATATTACAAGAAAGATTTCTACGTTACTGTGTCTATATTTATTTCTCATTTTTGTATGTCTGTTATATTCTCAGGCCTTTAGAGATACAATAAATGTAAAAGTAAAATATTTGAATGAAACAGATTATCTTTATTCTAGGGGCAAGATGAAAACAATGAACCAAGTTTTGGTAGATGTGGACACTTGTTAAGTTTCTGTTTAAAATTTTAAGTGTTTTGTCCAACCAGGATTCTCTAAATTAGTCTGAAATTTTGAGATAGCTATTTAACCAGATGAGCTGTCAAAACCCTATGGGTTTCTATTAAATCTTCTTGAATATTTTAAGAGAGAAGTGCTATCAAATATTGGAGGGGAAATTTGTTTTAGGTAACTTCCAATTGCATTTCTGTTCTTAAAACATCTACATATTGAACATATAACATTTTTTGTACTGGTATTTTTCCAATACAAAAGGAAAATGTATTGTTTCTTGGTTTTGATATTTTGAAGCAGTATAGAGGTGTAGCAAGATTATTTCCAATGCGGGAGACATCAGTATAAAAGGTTTTTATGCAAGATAGATAGATAGATTCCAACAACACCTTTGACTGTGCATATAATGAGAAATTGTGGTACACTCCAAAGAAGCATTTGTTAGCCTCTTGAAGCATAAAAAGAAGAGAGGGTGGGAAAGTAAGACTAACTGGTTATTATTTTAGCATTAGCTTTTGTGGATACTGTTCTGATACATAATCTATTATCTAGAAAAAGAGGTAATGCCAGGAGATAATATAGAAATTCATAATAGTTTCTCATTGGGAAGAGGGTCAGACAAGGCTGCATTTTATCACCTGTCCAATTTATATGCAGGACATAATCTTACAGAAAAAAAGATTTGACATAGGAAAAGGGAGCATGAAAATTGGGGGAAAGAACAAACAATTTCAGACTATACAGATGACACCATATTATTTTCACAAAATTGCAGATTTTGAACAACCATTGATGAAGTTAAGGGAGGAAGTGCAAAAGCAACTTAGTATTAAGTAGAAAAACAACGATCACAGACAATTTACATAATTCAGTTCATTTCTCTGAGAAGAAAAGGGGTGAGGTGTGATTTGTGGGTAATCTTTGACTTCTTAATGTTTTTCAAAGTCTTGTGTAGTGACTTCTGTTTGTTTTTTGGCTGTATGCTCTCCCTGAGCACAGAGTGTGTTTCGGCTGTCACTGACATGCTTAGGGGTGGAACTGGCAGTCACTAATTCTACCTAACTGTCTACCCTTCAGTCTCTGGGGCCAATGGCACATGTCTTGTGACATGCAACCATATCAGCAAGACTTAAACAGGACCTCTACTATCAAGCAAGGCTAACAGGCATTTCATAGAATCATAGAGTTGGAAGAGGCCACACATGCCATCTAGTCTGACCCCCTGCCATGCAAGAAAAGCACAATCAAAGTATCCCTGACTGATGGCCATTCAGCCTCTGTTTAAAAGTTTCCAAGGAATTTTTTGTTAGGATGTTTTGAGGGAGAGGCCTAGAGTTTTGGTATCTACTTAAGACTTCTCAACATGGATGGCGAGGGAGCTGTTGCAATCACCTGCGAAGCTGTGGTATGTTTTGTGTTCTTACTAGAGGATGAGGGTGACTACATCTGCAGCAGGTTCAAGTTGACTGTTCTTTTGGAAAGGAAGATCAAGAAAGTTAAAGTCTGAGTATCTAGTTATCAGTATTTTACGGAATTTCAAATTTTCTCGGACAAACTGAAGCAGACTGTCCCGGAGGAGGAACAAACAGGGAATGTGTTTGAGGAGAAGATCAGTTCTTAAAGACAGGAGTTAGACATTTGGAAGAATGTGACATATAGACATAGAAGGACCAGGGATTTGAAGCTGCAGAATCATTTTGAGGATTTCTCCTTTTAACAGCAAAAAGAGCATCTGTGTTGATCCTGAGACAATGTGCAAGTGATGTTGGAAGATTCAGCACACAGAATGCCCCGTGCTAGTCCTCAGAAGAGACGTGGAGTAGTGGTAGGGAACTCCCTGCTGAAAGAACAGGAGTAGTGATTTGTGGGCCTGATAGGATGACATCCTGCAGCAAAAATCCATGAAGTAACTAACAGAGAATCTTGTCAAGCACACCATTACTCTTTCCTTTTAGTCCATGTGGGAAGCAATGACACTGTCCTCAGGATATCACAAGGGATTATGCGGTTCTGGATAGGAATATGAAAGTACTTCATGTGTAGGTTATTTTGTTTCTCCTCTCAACTGATGGACACTGCTCTATAAGGGAGAGAAGAATAGCGGGGGGTGAACCACTGTCTCCATTGAACACGGCACCAGGAAAGATTTGGCTTCTTGGATGATACTTTTGGTATGTGATGGGTTGCACCTCACAGTAGTTGCCAGGAACTGTTTTCTAAGAGTTTTACAGATCTGATCTGGAGGGCTTTAAACTGGGTTACGCCTTGAAGGATAGGGCAAGAGTTCATCATGTGCTAGAGAAAATAACATAATAGTACTATAGCAGTGGTTCTTAACCTGCTATAGTACGGGCTACGGGCTACCAGTGGGCTGCAAGAACAAAAATATGGTCTGCGAGCCTCCTTCCTCTTTATTTATTTACTTATTTTATTTTATTTCCGCTCCTTTCACGCCACCTGCCACTCCTTCTTTGTCACTGACCATGGCATATGTTCTGTATCAGAAACTAGAGCTGATGTGGTCTATCCAATGCAATTTTCTGAATAAGCACCCCAAATAGAATCTAAAGTTGACCAAAAACTGATTTGTAACCCTTTTTATTTATTTATTTACTATATTTGTATACCGTTCTTCTCAGCCCTCAGGCGACTCAGAGTGGTTCACAATAGCAAAATTCAATGCTTAAAACATCATAAAACAGTTACAAACAATTAAAACAATAGCATTATAACAATAAATTAAACATCATATTTTGGCACTAATATTGGGAAGTGGTCCCTGGTCAAATTGTACCCTGGCCAAGTGGTCCCTGATCAAAAAAAGGTTGAGAACCACTGTACTATAGTGAATAGTACAAGTACCCAACAGCAGGAGAAAATACCTTAGAGCAGCTAGGAGGAATGATCCATGATTTTAGATGTCTCTATACTAATGCACAGAGCATGAGAAATAAATAAGATAAACTTGTTCTTTTAACAAAGCAAAGCAAATGTGATATAACTGGCATCACTGAAAACCTGGTGGGATGAGTCTCATTATTACAATGTATTAATAGAATGTATTATTAAGAGAAATAAACCAAACAAGCAAGGAGTAGCAAGAATGTTTACATCTTTGGAGAGATCCAAGACTTAAATCCTGGAAGCAAGGTGGGAAGCATATGGCTAAACATTAAGACAGAGAGAAGCAACAATGATGTCATTGCCAGTGAGACAACTTAGGTGATGGCTTCCTGGAACAGATGACCAGATGTTCAGAAGAGACATATGCAGTAGTAACAGGAGATTTCAACTATATTATTATTTTATTTTATTTTTATTGAGATTCAAAACAGAGAACTATATTGAAATATGTAGAAAATCAAATTCTTCTGTACATTTAAGGTCCAACAAATCCCTAATTTCGCTTGTAGATAATGGCATTGTTAAGAAGGCGAAAGAGATAACAAGAAGACCTGCTAATTTAGATCTGATCCTAACCAAGAGTGATTAGCAGGTTAATGGGGTGGAAGAAAATCGGCAAACTAGAACATGTCTAGAGAAGGTAGACCAAAATGATGAGTGATTTGGAAACCAAGCCCTCCCTATTGAGGAATGGCTTAGGGATCTGGGTATGTTTAATTTGGAGAATAGAAGACTGAGAGGGGAATAGTAGCCATATTTAAATATTTGGAATATTTTCAAATATTAAATTAATAATTGGGGAGGGTGTCAGCTTGTTTTCTGCTGCTCCAGGTATTTTGGACTTCAACTCCCAGAAATCCCAGCCATCTTACCAGCTGCTAGGAGGGCACTGAAGTCCAAAACACCTGGAGGACCAAAGATTGTGAAACACGGCTCTAGAACATACAAAGAAATGGATTCAAATGGCAGGAAAAGAGATTCCACTTAAAAATTTAGGAAGGATTTCCTAATGGTAAGAGTTGTTCAGTGGTGGAATATTCTGCCTCAAAGTGTGGCGGAGTCTCCTTCTCTGGAGGTTTTTAACCAGAGGCTGGATGACCTCTTTTTTGGACTTTTTTTTGTTATGTCCATAGCAAAAGTTAGAACAAGGAAATGGTTGGATTGCCTCATGGAAAAGATGATAAAATGCTAACAGTTTAAAGAGAAGGCAGAACTATTTAACTTCTTATTAATATCAGTCTCCTCCCAAAAGGAAAATAGTTCTCAATCTGAGGAAAATGGAGCAGATAATGAAAGTAGGGGAAATGCAGCACAGAATAGATACAGAAGGCATTCACTAATACCTAGCTAATCTAAATTAATTCATATCTCCAGGGCCTGATGAATTACATCAAAGATGAATAACATTGAAATAACTGACAGATGTAATCTCAGAAACACTGGTGATAATCTTTCTGAACCTTTCAACAGTCAAATATTCTGTTTTTAAGCAGATTCTAAACCAGGGGTCCTCAAACTTTTTAAACCGGGGCCAGTTCACTGTCCCTCAGACCGTTGGAGGGCCGGACTATGTTTTTTTTAAAAAAATCAATTAAAAAATTCCTATGCACATTGCACATATCTTATTTTGCTGTGTAGAAGGGCCCTTAGAGGGGGTTCTTTCTAGCCCTCTTTAGGTAGTAATTCCAGGAGCAGAGAATGGGAAATCTTCCTATTTCTAGTCTGAACAAAAT